GCAGAAGAGGGGGAAGGGACATAATTCACTTACAGGACAAGGGATGGCTATGGGACTGAAAACTGGAAAGGTGTTGGCTTATGCCACAAGATGCAAATACTGCCGAATATGCCAAAATGCAAAAAAAATGGCAAAAGTCCACGAAAACACGACTGCAGAAAGAACCATACCGGTTCATCAAAAGCAATGGAACCTGATGTGGCATGTGAACTTTGGAATGCTGCGCCAAAACAAAACTTAAAGTTTTCAACCTATGTTGGGGATGACGATACTACCACACTTAGCCACCTAAATCAGAATGTGCCATATGGGGTCGAGAAATGGTCCGACATTGAGCATGCTAAATGGTAATTTTTACGAGTACAAATTATTGTTAATGGACGATACTCAATGCGCTAGACCTAAAAATTATAGATTTAAAATGTCTATGCTAAGCCAACTCGAAAGCTACTATTGTCTAAACAAAGGAAGACTCTATCACAGACTTTCATTATTTGCTTGCCAAACCCGTAGGCTACTGCACCCAGTATCGTTTATTAATTATTGTCCAAACCACTATGTTTGACCTATTCATAACTATGACAATGAAACTATAGTTAAACATGGGCAGATATCCGAGTTAGCTTTATCTGCCTATATCATTCTTACTTGGATTGCGAGCTGTAAAGACTGATTTAAAGAGTCACCCACCAACCACCCCATGCTCCAGCCCCTTCCCTGATGTAACGAGATGGTACAAGATGGTACTTGGAAGTAATTACGGTATGTTATGGGCCCGCCTAGGGAGTCATATTGAATTCTCGGAAACATTGAACTATATTTAGATCTATATATAAATATTATCTTCGTTGGATATTAAACGCTTATCGACATTCACTAGACTGTTATATCAATGTTATTATGTATTTAATAAAATAATAAATAAAGAATGAAGTGTTTGAGGCAATTGCTCTAGTATGAGGTCGCAATTTTACCATAGACCTCACGTTTTCTTTACGGAATTTGGCAACCTGGCATACAGCCAATTCCCATTTACAAAAATCACTCTATTTCTGCATATGAGTATATGTGCTGAGCCAGATCAGTGTTCTAAGAAATATTTCCCTGATCATTTTTTCCCAGGGCCCAGCTCAGAGTATATGTCTTGCAGGGCATGCTAGGATCCAGCTCTAAATGGAGTATATGTTCTAGCCGACTTAGGACCCAGCTCAAAATCTGTAAAAGTATATGTCTTGGGCAGATTAGGACCCAGCTGCAAATCAGTATATGTCCTAATCGACTTTCCCCAAGATCCAGCTTTTCAATACGAGTATATGCCCTGGGAACCGCTCAGCACCCAGCTCTTCGCAGATAAAAAATACAGTATATAGAGCAGTTGTCCCACACTTCCATAACCCCACAAACCTTGTGTTCTTATGCGTGTCGTTATATTAAATATCTCAATATATATATATATATATATATTTATTAAACGGTGAGGACATTAAACGTTCATTAACAACAAGATTATATAATCTTTCTAGCCGCTGTAAATTCCCAAATTCATCTACTCTGAGTCAGAATGTGATCAACTATCTGGCAAAATGCTTTTCGTATTGCATAGCCCAAAATAAAGATGTGGAAAGTTTACAGAAAGCATTAAAATGCATAGTTCCATATGCATTTGGTGACCACAAAAATTGTAAAGAAACATGGTGTGGTTTCAAGAAGGAACCTTTGACATATAAACACAAGGATCTCCCACATCATAAAGATTTGCAAGATGAACAGTTAAAAAGTGCACTTACTTCTTTACTTGATGAATATACAACTGAAACTGTTGTTAAGAAACTTGTACCATTTGCAAATTCCCAACGTAATGAAGCACTCAATAGCATCGTAGGAAGCAAAAACCCCAAAATAAGGTTTTACGGTAGTAGTGAGAGCAGTGACTTTCGGGTTGCTTGTGCTGTAGCACAAAAGAACATCGGGTATAGTTACATCGACAGTACACTAAACCATCTTGGTATAGAGCCAGGGAATATCTGTATCACACACAACAGTAAACTAGACAAAAAAAGGGAGAAAGATAATTACCGCAAATCATTAAAAACCTGCAAAGTAAGACGTCATCTCCTTCAAAATGAACGGATAACAAAAAATACCAAAAATGAAGTTAAAGAAGGCAAAACATATGAAACTGGTATTGGTCTTAATTTGTCAACAGAAAACACACCAGGGCTTGCAAATATTGAATCAAATGCAAATGATCACAAGTTGGAAAAGTTATTCAAAACAATTACTAAAAAACAATGTGAGGAATTTGACAAGCTTGTTCCACATTGTATGGAAAGGCCGCAGGTAGTATATAAAACTTACAGCCAAACAATGCCCTACCAGTTTATAATATTTGACTTGGAGACTTCAGACACTGGTTCAAAGGCAGAAATATGTCAACTATCTGCGATCACTCAAACTGGTTCCATGTACTCCTCTTACATTATGCCTAAAAATAACATAAGTCCTGGGGCATCTAGAGTAAATGATCTTACCGTTGAAAATATAAATGGAACAAGATCATTGTGTAAAAACTCTGTTCCTGTTGCAGCAACGTCCCTTGAAAACGCCTTGTCAAGCTTCATCAAATTTATACAACAAGTTTGTTCCATCAATTCCTGCGGTACTCAATCTATACCAGTTCTTATTGGCCACAATGCAGCTGTCTTTGACGTTCCAGTACTTTTACGAAATTCGGGGAAATTATACGATGAACAGCTTGATCAGATCAATGTCAATTTTGGTGACAGCTTACCACTTACCAAGTCTTTAATTCAAAGCCAGCATGCCCCTCTGAAGTTAACAAATGGAGATTACTGTCGTGCAAATATAAGTAGTGTTTATCAGTGCTTGTTTAAAGACGAGTTCAACGCCCATGATGCCTTAGAGGATGTCAAAGCTCTTCGAAAGATATTATTCAGTTCTGAACTAGCAATTGACATCAGAACTATAGTCAACGGCAGCCAAATACAAACAGTTCGTGATGCGAGAATGGACTTGGATTACATAGACAAACGACTCGAGCTTTTCCAAACGTTTGTAGGAGGTTTATATTGTCCACAAGCAAGTGAAAGTCCAATCACACGCAGCATGACTTTAAAAATCGCTGGTTCTGGCTTGTCTTACAAAAACCTTTGTTGTTTGTACCAAACATTCGGTGATGCTGGCGTCGTTGGAATATTATCAAGAGTGCATTATTGTCAACAACAACCAAAGTGTATGCGATCCGGTGACAAGAAACCACGAGTAACGAATCATAAAAGGATTCTCAAAAACATTTTACTGCACTTTGAATCGAAGTACGGATATAAAACTCACGATCAAGAACAACAATAAAATCCCCATGCCGTTTCTTCAAATGTTGCGTGTTTTGTTCGGTCGCGTGAACTTGCGCCTGCGAATACATGTACGCGCATGGCAATCCATTGATCCTGCAGAAGGCAAAAAACTTTGGCCGCGCCGAATGTAGACATACAAAACCTTGATTATTGAGAAAACGAGTTCGGTAAGGTGCCCTGAAATTTTGCATAGAAATAGATATATACGCGCTAAGTGTAATAATACAATATCTCAAAAATCTGCAATGCGAAATTTTATTAAAAGGCAATTTTCAATTCTGCAAATTTGGCATTACAGATTTTTTTAAAACTTTCACAGAAGCTTCATTGAAAGAAATAAAAACGATTACCTATTTAAAAAATGGGGGTCACCGACCTCATTTCTGAAATATACGCTCGTATTTGCCATATTTTCGAATGTTTGCATGCGTATTGTTGCCATAGCAACAGAGCAAACTCGCGCATATTAATTGATTCTTAATCAATTCGGTATTCTTTACTAGTATGTGCGTTTTTATGACTCTACAACCAACAGGAAATAAATCACGGATGTTTAAACATTTACGCCGAAAGTGTATCGAGCCACCTTAATACATTTCTTTACGTTTAATATTTGAACGTTTGGTTACGTTGCATTACGCAGTCGACACGATTGCAGTCGACACGATATATACCATTAAAATTTCACACTCAAAACGTCCAGATTTTATTGTTCCGATCTAATGCAACGTAACCAAACGTTCAAATATTAAACGCAAGTTTTACGGTTGAATGAGAATAATATAAATTCAAAATGTTTAGGAACGAACTTTCCCTAAATCTCATGTTATTAATATATTTTGTGTTCAATATATAGACCACAGTAAGACTTTTTTTAAATGTTTATTTCATTAACAAACGACGTTTCGGAGATTTACTCCATCTTCAGGTAGGATTACAATTTGAATTTAAACTAACATAGACAGTCTAATTTAGACTAACATAGATAGTCTTTTGTGATGTGACGTGACGCGCTTGGCGCGCGAGCAGCGAGTCAAATCGCTCCGTAAAATTACTAAATTTCGACCCTATTTCTACGACTTTTTGGGTTACATTTATAAAAGAATTGTGGATAAAGTGACTATCTTTGGGAAAGTGAAGTTGGTGTGGTAAAATTTTAAGTATTGCTCTGTATTTTGTTGAATTATTTTTCAAATTGCAAGAGAATTTACAACTGGTTTATAAGCACGCGCAAGCCGGACGGTTGAATTTGGCGTGCGCATACGACTACGTGATAAGTTTGCGCGCGTGATTCAAAGGACGATCTTACGAACTGTGTTCGACTCGAGCGCGTGCGGAATTACGGTCATCTATTAGAACAATTATATGAATAACTAGTGACTTAATTATAACTTTTCGGAAAATACGAATTAAAATGCTTAAAACCCACCAAACTTTCGCCAAATCAGCATCATTGTGGACTGTGTGTCTCGTGGTGTCCTTCTGGCTGTCAACAAGATCTAAACCTGATGTGAACATTATCGAAAATTCAACTGGAAAAGGCATTCTTATTTCCCCGGAACTTGCCATCTTACCGGACAAACTGTGCTTTATCTGGACTTCTACGCGTGATAGAAAGTTACGAAAGTTTGCTCTTCCCGACAAACATCGTTACGGACTGGAGTTTCACATTTCTCGCAAATGTTCTCACGTTGTGCTACTTATTCTCCTTGCTGGCGACATAGCAACCAACCCAGGTCCTACAACTGGTTCACGTGAAACAGACAATTCAAAAACTAGTCCCGGGTTAAAAGTTCTGTATTTAAATGCCAGAAGTCTAAAAGCATTTGTTCATCCAATTGGGGACAAATCGGTAAAAGTTTGTAAAATCTCGTTATTGCAACAACTGACATATGGTGGTAATTACGACGTTGTATGTGTGTGTGAGACCTGGTTAAACAATTTAATCTTAAGCAGTGAGATCTTGCCTAATTATGGATCTATCTTCCGATGTGACAGAGCTGACAGAATTGGTGGTGGTGTTCTTGTTGCTGTGAAGACTGGTATACAAGTCACACGCAGACATGATCTAGAACCTGATAATACGGAACTTGTTGTTACTGAGTTAATGAAATCTAACAACAAACCAATTATACTTTACACGTTTTATTGTCCCCCCGACTCTAAACCCGATGTCCTTCAGCAGCTAAATTATTCTATCCAAAACAACCCAGAATCAAGTCGTATTGTGTTGATAGGCGATTTTAATCTACCATCAGTTAAATGGTCGTCTGATCAGAAAACCCCCATCAACATCGGAGGACCTGCTGAGAATGAAATCTTTTGCGATTTGGTAGACGACAACTTCCTTCTGCAATACATATTTGGCCCTACCCATACTGCTGGTAATAAACTCGATCTGTTGATGTGTAACTCTCCTGAAATCGTCGGCGACGTCTCCGTTCTCCATCCCGAGACCTGTGGTTTCCCAACAGATCACTACATCGTGGAATTTGACGTAAAGTTGAAGTTTAAAAGAGCCAAGCCAATAAAGCGCCGAGTATTCGACTATGGAAAAGGAAATTTCGATGAGCTACGTAACTTCCTGACACGATATCCCATCAATGTTACCCCAACTGATAGCATTAATGATGACTGGGAACAATGGAAGGACACATTCTTAACTGCTGTGAGAAGGTACATTCCGATGAGAACTGTCAAAGACAAAAATAGTCCACCATGGATCGATAAAGAAGTGCGTCAACTAATCCGTAAGAAGTACAAAGTTCTAAAACAATACCGCAGGAACAAATCTGCTGATCGAAAGCGTAAATTACGAAGCGTTACTCAACAAATCAAATACTTGATTCGAAGTAAACACCGAGGCTATCTGGCTAAAATAAAAAGTTCGTTCTGTGACAACCCCAAACTATTCTGGAGTTACCATAAATCAATTCTTTACCACCGGACAGGTCAGAGCAACGAAATAACATATAATGGTTTCACAGCCAAGACGGCGAAAGAAAAAGCGGATCTTTTTAACACTTACTTTTCTTCAGTGTTTCATCCATCTTCTACCACTTGTAACCAGACGCCTCGAACGGAAAGCAAAGAGAACATCTCGGAGATAACAATCGATGTAGACGAAGTTGCGCAATTTTTGCGCGCCCTTGATACCTCGAAAGCATGTGGCCCCGACGGCATTCCAGCTCGCCTGTTACAAGTATGCGCCCTTGAAATCGCACCAAGCATATGTGAGTTGTTTAACCGTTCCTTGCATACTGGTCATGTTCCATCTGAGTGGAAATCTGCGAATGTTACACCCGTCCACAAAAAAGATCTTAAAGAACCGGCGAAACATTACAGACCAATATCGTTGCTGCCCATCGTTGGCAAAGTACTAGAGCGTTGCGTGTGCATCAGACTATATAATCATGTCAGGCACCTCGTCACAAAAGCACAACATGGCTTCCTTAGACGGCGATCTTGCGTTAGTCAACTACTATCGGTACTACACGCCATCGGGCAATCCCTTGACAAAAACGTTCAAACTGACGTTATCTACCTCGACTTTGCAAAAGCTTTTGACTCTGTCGATCACCAAATTCTCCTCCACAAGCTTGCGTCATACGGTGTGTCAGGTCATTTATATGAATGGTTCGCGGACTATCTCAGTGGTCGTCGTCAAAGGGTTGTGATTGATGGAGCTACATCTAATTGGGTGCCAGTTACATCTGGAGTGCCGCAAGGCAGTCTCCTGGGTCCTATTCTGTTTGTGATATTCATAAACGATCTTCTCGACATA